TACACCCTGTAATAACAATCAATAATCCACCAAAAATCCTAAAATAACAGATAAATATTAAAATAATATTTACAAATATAAATAAAAGATAGTAAATGCATACACTAAAGGGATGTCCTCTCCTTTTTCTACTGGAAGCAACGTGAAAATACTAGTAAATAAGCATGAAATTGTCCATCCAACAAACAATATTGTATTCTCGCTCCGCAGTTTTGATGAAGTCAACCATGGCCATAACGCAGCTAGTAAAAAACAAATACTCAATGTACTACGTTCGAAATAACTATAAACCTATAAGCAAACAAGTTAACATTTTCGTATCACACATTAACAATAATTGATACAAAAACTTACCAAAATTTCTAATGCTATAATGTATCCAATAATATATATTATTAATGTAAAGATGCTCTGATTGCCCAATGCAGATCTACAGAAGTCTAAAATTACATTTCGCTCTTTTATGACATCTCTCCAAAAATATACGGGAAATACTACATAAGTGTAGTATGTTATAGGCGATTCTTGAACATAAAGAACGCATGTTAACAACGTTAGGGATATGATGGAAATAATATTGATCTAATAATCAGATAAAATAAGCCAAGGACATAATTTCAAATTATAAAATACATAAAATAAAATAAAAAATAACATACTATTAATTCGTATGGATCGTCGCCTTCTACAATGAATTGCGCGTCATCATTAAACGCATACTCTTGGAGAGTAAATTTCAAGCTATAGATAATCCATCCAACATATCCAGCCGTAACTATAGACCTTAGCATGAACCAGTCATATCTATATATGAAGTATAGTGATATATGTTATTTACGCAAACCTAAATCAAATAGTTTAATTAAAAATATATACATATCACACACGTTTGGAAATATCTCAATCCTTCCAAACAGAGATCAATTAATATCCTACACAAATTTTCGGCTTCTACATAATTTTCGGTATCGATTAGGCGCTGAATATCTTTTATAAACACATCAGGTAAATGCGTAGAATTGTTCAGAGGAGTATATGGTTTGAACATTAATTTTGTCCGTTTTTGTGATTCTAAAGAAAATTAATAAATTAACAAAAGAAAAAATCTTAATAAGAAACAAAACAACTTGATAAACTAACAGTGCTATTAGTATACCGTATTTAACTTTGTATTGCTCCAAAATTTCTTTGGCATTCACAAAGATACTTTGAGCTTTGAACAATGGTGTGTTATTAAGATATTTCAAAGGCAATTCACCAACTGAATTTACAGGATAATTAATCCCTATTAAAGAAGCCTTTAAATATCATAAGATTCATTATATTTAATATTGCAAATTTATTTTAGCCTTAAATAAGTGTCATAGAAGTTACCATTAAGGGAGCAATATCAGCTTGAAGTATATCATTACGTTGAACACTATTTAATTGCCAATCCATCGAAAATTCGTCATGCCCACTTGGATTTTCCTTGTTAGGTTTATTTATACCCGCTCCCCATGCAATTATTGGAGTACGTGTGTTATCCGGATGTCCATCACCATGATTGCCTGATTGTATTTGCAAATTAATCAAATAATCAACTAATTTACCAGCTCTTCATATTATATATAACTTGCTTACCCCTATTGCTCATTCCATGATCAGAAGTAAAAATATAAGCAGTCCTCCTATCATTTCCGTAAAATTCATCGAGTAATTGTATTGTTTTGTAAATTCCATCATCAACTACTTTAATATTATTCAAATACTCTTTAGAATGAGGACCATAAGCATGACCATTTGTGTCCAATCCAAGCAAATGCAAAAAAACGATTATTTTATCATCATGAAGCTGTTGATAAAGTTTCGGATCAGATGATGAATTTGAAAGAAGTTGGGCAAATTTGTTGAACGTCCATGTGTCTAATTCAGTGGCATCTAAAATATGGAATATATATATTATTAAAAAAGATGTAATAAAAAGATGTAATAAAAATAAGAATCTTAAGAAAATACCTTCAGCAAAGTTTTCACTTTCATGTCCATACATAAAAGTGTCAACCCTTTCTGAATCTGAGGCACCCTCAGCAAACATAGGTAATATATCCGGTGAACCAAATGACCATGTATGTCCGCTTTGATTGAATACAGAATCAAACTCTACAGGATTCATTTTCCAACCTATGGAACATAAATTGATAAATTAGATAAAATTTCAAATTAACCCATCACATTGATTATTGATACTATGATAAAACCTTTTGTAACAGCACTAACATCCTCATAAAATCCCGCAATTATTGCAACATGACCCGGCCTTGATTCCGTAGGAACTCTCGTGTGAGAAATCCCCCATGTTCCATGATTAAGTACTATATCCCTTAAAAAAGGGGCCCTTGTAAATAGACCACTATTGTTCTCTTTTTGATACAATTGATATAATTTATCCGCTCTTAAACCATCACCTACACAATTATATTTGTTGTAGTTATATACAGTAATACTAAATTTTACGTAAGTAGGAAAGTATATTGATTATTTTTAACAGAATCTTACCAACAAAAAGTACAAGCCTTCGTGCAGGTGGTGGTAAATCAACCTAATCCGAATACTGTAAATATCTTTGATTCTCGAAATAAAGGGTGAATTATAGGTTTTTACCTTATGTGGGGTCATACCATGTACCAAAGGTGACGTAAAATATATGTCGAAAATACTCCATAGGTACGTCACATGAAATAAAAGTCCAATACACAAAAGTAAGTTTCTTGTTCCCTTTGCCATAAATTACGTTCTTTGGGTAAATAACGTAGCAAAAAATTGATTTTAACCCCCACAAAAAATTGTTTACCGTCTGTATCGAATTTTAAGATCAGAAATTTTTCTTAATCGTTTAACCGTTTAATTTAGCCGGCATTAAAATAATCCCGGCCCACGACCAATATAATTCTGCCCGGAACTATGGAGCAATTTTTAAACGGTTATACGGGATGTATTACATAAATTACATTACATTGAGTAGTGCATTGTCACATGATAACTTTACCGACATTGCAAAAGTTTAGCCAGCACTAATAAAAGTTTTCACTTGATGATTTCAGAAACTTACGTAATTTTCCAACCCTAGTTCAATCGCAATAGTCAGCTATACTACATTAAAATTATCATCTGGGCAGCTTTACTTAATACGTGGGCTGTTTACGTAATTTTTTAAAAAAAATTCGCGATCAGGTGATTGTGACCCAATCAACGATCAATATATTACTTAGGATAAATGTATACAATTTTTTTGTTAGTGTTTGAATTTTCCTGATTACACCTGATATTAGAATTTGATTGGTCGATCATTAATATGCGATGTGTGTCAATAGAAACCAAGCAAATTATTTTTAGCAAGTTTTTTTAAAATTTTAAATTAAAATATATCAACAACTATTAAACCAACTTTGATGAATATTTTTTTCTTTTAATTCTATAACTATATAAAATTATAATAAAAAAATTTTTATCAAGTTTGATTAAATAATTGTTGAGATATTTTGCTTTAAACTTTAAAAAAAATTTACTTAGAAAAAATTTGCTTGATTTCTATTAACACACTCTCATATGAAATACCCCAATACCCTGGTAAAATAATAAAAAATTCTGTTTGCAAGAAATTTAATAAAAGATATAAATATATAATAAAAAGTTCAGCACTCTTAATCCAAAGTTAACTTTCTGTTTACCTATTCTGTTTTAAATTATGATTATGTTTTTGCTAATAAATATAAACAATCGCTCACTTTAATCCGAAAAATTCTTATGTTTTGATTACTTTTTTTGATAATATAGTATATAGTATCTTACCTAGAGGCGAACTTTGGAAATATGATAGAAAGTTTAAATATATAGGTATATATTTATTTAAAATTGTTAGAATAGAACATTTATATGTCTAATCTTTTTTAATATTACTTTTCATGAATAGCAATGACTAATGATGATATTAATGATGAGCGATTGAAAAGTAAAATGGATTAAAGCTCTTAAACAATGCGACAATGAAGATAATTACATAGTTGAAAATATAAGTTAAGATATTGTGCAAAGGCTTATTTTATTATGGGAAATTATGAGAAGGCACTTGAAGATTAAATAAATTACTTGAAATTGAACAAAAAAAATGCATTCGCGTTAAGATATCACGGAGAAACAAATTTTATTTTGAGTAAATATGAAGAATCGGACGCGAACTAAAAAAAAACTATTAAAAATAAATTGTGATGAATGGGCATTAAATGCTAATAATGAAGTTAATAGGCGGTAATTATCAATTGTTGTAGAATTTAATGAACATATCTAATATACTGTATACTTCTATTAACTATTCCTTTTTTTTTTTGTCTATTACCCACTTATGTTACGTCATAAATCAACAGAGTAAGTGTAGTATCTGATATACTATAATATCTGATTTACTGTATTTCTCTATTATCTATTTTTTTTTATCTGTTACTTTCTTACGCTCTCTTATATTACATTTTACTCGTTTAGCCGTATAATATAAATAAACGGTTAAAGGCGTGTGAGCACAAGATTTAGATTTCTTTACTATTCTAGATTGTTGCTGTATTTTGAGTACCATTGAACTGACAAATTATGAGATGTATTCAAATAACTTTCGTCTATGAATTGCAATGACATTTATTATGCACTTAACAGTATTTTAATATTACGAACTTGCTTAAAATCATTATTTAATAATTTATTTCCGCTTAAAGATTTTCAAATGACTGCAGAAAAAGCCAGATAAAACTTTTTTATTATTTTTCACTCGAAAAATATGTTGATAAATACTGTATAAAAAAAGAAATGGCTGCGGCTTGTTCACGTGTTTCCGAGTTAGTCATATCAGGTTGCAGCATTATGTGCGTCACTGTTACATGAAAGTAATTTAACCTTTTTTACAAACATTTCATCGCCAATTCTTTAGATTTTAGTCGTTATAAAGTGGAATTTTGAAATTCCTATTTATAATGTCACAGATTAAAGTTTCAGGTCGAGATATTACAAAAGGAACACTCAAAGCTATCAATGTGGTCGCCAATGCAACACCTTTTGGTTCCTTGATATCAGGAATAACTGAGCTTATTTCTGAAATTACCCAAATTTATGAAGCAGCTCAATGCAATAAAAAAATTTGTAACGCATTGTTAGATCGTGCAAAAAGTGCTGAGCTTGCGCTTGAATCGTTAAACAGAAGGAGACAAGGAAGTGAAGAAAATTTTCGCAAAAAAGAATATTATCATGCTTTCCTTAGATTCGAGATGGTACTGCAACAAATTAAAGATTTTGCTATAGATGTTTCACAACTTCAAGGATTTGAAAAAATTTTTAAAGCAAACTTAGTTTCGGAAAAATTTACACAATTAACAAATGACTTTGACGAAGTGATGAAAGATTTAAATTTTACAATGGCCATATCGAGTGATGAGCAAAGGATAAATGACCAGAAAAATCTAAAGGAAGATCTTGATGAAATGAAAAAGGTATGCAAATAATTTAATTATAATAAATTAAAGATCAGAGTGAGAATAAATGTATAGCTAAAGACTATTTATATATTTAGTTCTTTTTAGAATTTGAAGAGCGAAATAACAAAAAAATTGATATATTAATTGAAAAAGTTTCAATTATGAATAAACAAATATTAAATAAAGCTAATGACAGTACATCAATGATTAATGAAATTAGAACACGACAAATTGCACAAAGCGAGTTAAAAGATCCTTTTCCGGGACAGAAGGATGACGTCAGAGGTGCAATCTTTAAGAAAGTATTTGAAGAATGCTCCGATGTTGCCTGTAAACCAGTTAACCTTCCAAAGGAAGGTTCACAGGGCTCTAAAAGATTTTTATCACAATTAGCGATCCTGGAAAAATTAAGCAATGGACCAAATATTCTCAAATTTTATGGTCTTTCTTACATTGATAACAAAAACGTCATGATTTTTGAGTGGGCCGATTTAGGAAATCTTAAAGAAGTTTATGAAAAAAATGATATTCCATGGTGTAAAAAAGTACTTTTGGCTCTTGATATTTGTCGTGCTATTGTGTTTTTACAGAAAGCAGAGATTTTTCATCATGATATCAGATGCGAAAATGTAATGGTATGTAGATTATTATTATTATTATTATTATTATTGCCTCGTTTACACACGTAATCAGAATCTTATAATAATTAAATAATTATTAGATAACGAAAAACTTAGAACCGAAACTTACAAATTTTGAATATGCTCGTCCTATTACAGAAGAAACGTCTCAAATCTCTAATTTATCAAAACTCCTTAATTGGTTAGCACCAGAAAAAATGAAAGGTCATGGTTACACGCATAAATGTGAACTATTTAGGTCCAAAGTTTTACATATTTTTTAGTTTTTACCATAAATATGTATTAAATATGTAGTTCTTAACTTTTTATGAAAATATTGATAGTTTTGGAATGCTTTTATGGGAGTTATGTTATGAAAAAATACCTTATGAAGGCCTTAAACCTGATGAGATAAAAGCAAAAGTTCTCAATGGTGAAAGAGAAAAGTTGATGATAGGTAATGGAAGGCAACCAGAAGATAAGGAAATCCAAAAAGAATTTGCAAGAATTATTAAGAAAGGTAGGCGCTATTAACTATGTTTATATATTATTTACTTTTATTTTAAGGTATTATTTGTTTTCATTAAGCATGGTGCGAGGAACCACAAATGCGAATTAGTATCCCAGCATTATTTTTGGAATTATCAACATTGAAAGCAAATTATGTTAAGGCTGGTTATTCTTATGGACTCCTTCCAAACAAAACCATAGATTTAAACGGAATGGATAATGTTTACATCGAAACGACAATGCCAGACATTGAATTCAAAGAATTAGAATTTGATAATAATACTTTTGAAACTATCTTGCCTCTTAAAGAAGGCATTAATCTTCATAATAAAGGTGATGATGAAAGTATGCAAAAAGCTTGGCGATGTTTTGTAGCAAATGCAGATATTGGAAATCCTATGGCAAAATTCTGGAAAGGTTATTATCTATCTAAGGGCTATGTTACTGATAAAAACCTAGAAGAAGCCAAGGTACTTTTTAAGAAAGCAGCTGATTATGGCCTTCCGGATGCTCAATTACACTATGCGTTTACCTTAATTGAAGATATGAAGGATCAAGAAAAGCAAAAGGAATATTTAAAATATTTGAAATTATCAGCGGATCAGGGAAATAAGGAAGCAGAGTATCATTTGGGTAAATTGTATTTAAAGGGAAGTATCGTTGAAGCCGATCGAGAAATTGGATTAAATTATTTAAGGCTGGCAGCTTTGAATGACCATGTAAAGGCTCGAGAATTTATAAAAAAAGAAAATATTGACATTTAATTTGTTTTTTTACAATATTAAAATTTCATATCATAAAGTTCTTATTTAAGTATTTTTGGTTTTAATATTTAATATTAATTAAAATCATATAATACAGTATTATGATATAAAATTAAAAATGTTCTGTAATCTAAATTTTGATAACAAGGTATAGTTATTATATTAAAAATTCATTTAGTTTTATAATGCTAAGCGTTATATAAAAAGGTTTAGCACTGCAAATTTAGTTATTTATTTTTGATAACAAGGTATAGTTATTATATTAAAATTCATTTAGTTTTATAATGCTAAGGGTTATAATAAAGTTTAGCTCTGCAAATTTAGTTATTTATATAATTTTATTAAAATAAATTAACTAAAACAAATTTAAAATATTTATCTATTACTTTTTATTAAAAGTTTTTTTTAAAAATAGATTTATTAAAATTTTATAAATAAAAAAATTTGTATAACAAAAACTAAAAAGTAATTTTCTAACAAAGATTTAACAATTATTATAAAACGCATCTATGGTGTTTTGCACCTATTATATGTTTTTATTATGTTTTTTAAATTTCTAAGTTTTTATAAGTTGTTATAGAAATTTTTGACTTAAATTTTTTCACGTTAGGTTTAGTCTTTAAGTTAGTATTAGGGTTTGGGAAAGGTTTTCAGGGGCGTAGAACATTTTTACTTAAAACACCTTGTAATGATTAATTAGCCAGTTTTTGAGATAATGCGTGCATAGGTGTAAAACACCATAGGTGCATTTTAGTAAAATTCAAGATTTAATATTACGTAGTTTTAATAATTTTTTTACCAGGTAATTAAAAATAAACTTTATAAAACAGGTTTAATTTTTTTTAATAAATTTAAAAGATAGCTTTAATGTTATTGTAATAAAAAAGTAGTTTATTATTCTATTTATTTATTTAGAAATAATTTTTATTTATGTTAAATAATAATTTACAAAATAAAATATAAATACCAATTTGAATATATATAAATATACAAACTAAAATATAATAAACATAACTTTAATTTAATTGGCTAATCTATATTAACAGACTTAAATTCTTCTGAAAGTAAATTGTTAGAATATGTTTTTTTTTCAAAAACTATTTTTAATTCAATACCCATTAATCTACACTGCATATGATTTTTAAACTAATTAAACGAATTTACATTAATATATTTGGTTTGTTTTTTAGTTGCCTACGTTATGATAAAAATAATTTTTGCTTACTTCTCTTAAACACTCGGAAAGATCTTGAGAATTAGGCAAGGTCTTAAGCACAACTGTAGATGATTTTTTACGTGACCTTATGTATTTACGGTTTTCATTATCGTATTCAGTTACTCGTATGCCATCTGACCAAATTGCTGAAAATACTGATCCAAAACCTCCTTTGGCAATATGCTTAACATCTATCAATCTATTAAACGGGATCCATTCAATCATCTCATCATACGTTTTGGCTTCGCGCTGAAATCCCGTAATACAATTACCAACTTCTTCATTTCCACTTGAGTTTGACAATTTCTGAATAGCTATTTCAGGATCACATGTCTGACACCAGCAATAAAACGTATTATACAGGTTACAAGTTTTACATATTCCATAATCAGAATGTCTGTGAATGGATTAATTTTTGTTATTTAATAATGTTTTTACAAATAAATTCAATTCACATGTTAATGCTAACACTGTGCTTACCGCCCAATATAACGCGTAATTAAATAATAATAACAAATAAAAAAATAAAAAATAGTTAATAGAGAAATACAATACATTATGTTGTCAATAATTTATGTATTATTAAATTCTACACTTACTCCCTGTTGATTTAACACGTAGCAAAGAGAATAACAGATAACAGATAGAAGAAAAGAAAAAGATTAATTAATTATTAATGGATTATATTTTGTTGCAATAATTTATGCTTTATTAAATTCTACACTTATAAACTGTTGATTTAACACGTAGCAAAGAGAATAACAGACAACAGATAGAAGAATAGAAAAAGATTAATTAATTATTAGTGAATTATATTTTGCTTTTTTGTTGTCAATAATTTATGTATGATTAAATTCTACACTTACCGTTTATTAGTTTAATATGTAGATAAAATATGACAGATAGAAGAATAGAGAGATTAATTAATTATTAGTAGGGATGTTAAAATGTCGATCCGGTCCGATATGGTCCTGGGATGGTCCTGGACCTAAATTCCAAAATTCGATCCCGAGATCGGATCCTTTGAATTTTAATCCTCAAAATAAGTCTGTTCAATCAAATTTATTTTAAAAAAAATTTTTATACGTTGAAAGTTTTTATTATCTAATTGCTAGATTTATTAAAACTTAGCGATCTTAAGAATTTAGAAGCCAAAAAAAATGGCACAACTAACAAATGAATAGTAGAAAAACTAAAAGAGTGAACAAAAAAAATTTAAGAAAAAAAAAAAGGCAAAAAATTTTGTCAAACTATATCAAAATAAGATATAAATGACTACAGTATCCTTAATTCCTATATTCCTATACTTTATAGTGTGGCAGTCAGTTCAGTGACACACAATTTTCTAAAGTTTTTTTTTGATTTTTTTTAATTTTAAATTTTTTTGAATTTTTTTTTTTGAATTTTATTTTATTTTATTTTTTCTAATTTAGATTCTAAGCTTCATCTATTATATCTGATAATTTTATATACCAGCTCTTAAGACATAAAGATGCACATGCTGTCTCAGAATGAAGATGATTTCAAATAAGCATAATTGTGTGTTTAGCAATAGAAAAAACTTGTTCAGATAGCACATTTGTCATCTGCATTAAGAGATAATCTATTGCAATTCAGAATAATCTAAGATACTATATTAAATTTGTTTACTATTATGAGAGTAGTTTTACTTCTATATTGAGTTCTTTTAAATATTTTATAATTTTATTTGGATTAGTGTAAATTATGTGGTTGGTAATAAGGTCACAAAAGAAGCTTCAAGTTGATTTATTAGTAGTTATTTTAGTTTATGATAGCAATGAGTTATGTTTATCTAGTTTATATTTTTTGAACATTTGATAAAATGTACTAATAGGAGTGTGGTGACCTAGTGAAGTGATCAGGTTGTCAACCCCCCAAGTGGTAGGTTGGGTGTTCAAATCCCATCGACAGTGAAAATTTGGATAATCACCTATGTAATATTCATATTATGGCAACTGTTACTAATGATTAGATTAGGATATCTGTAATAGTAGTTGCACCAGCATGACTGGCAGGTCATGGGGCATCTGTGTAAATATGGTGTTATACAGAAAAATGCAAACTGACAAATTGGATGGTACAAACACTAAATAAGTCCTTGTGGCTGTATAAATCTGTTGAAATTGAATAACAAGAAGTTCATTTGGAAAGACCCAAGTAGAAAGATAGTTAGATCTTTAATGATACTACTATAAAGGTTAGTTTAGAGAAATGAATACCAAGATCGTAATACCCAGTCATAGTAGCCAGATGGGCAAGAACCTCTGAGTTGGGAGTCTTAGGAGTATCATTAACTAGGCCATTAGAACAAATTGGAGGAAAAGGATATTGGGCCAACCTGATATACTGATGGACTGGTTGTAGTTCTATATAGGCTATTTGAATTGGGAGTTTGGTAAAAAGATAGATAAAAAGACAAGGGTATACTAAAGTACTGAGGTTATGCTGTGAAGTAAGTGCTGGGGTCTAAGTGAACTCTACAAGGACATAGCAGTTTAATAGTTAGTCCTAATCGCAAGTATTGGTTCTGCTATAGTGATATTTAGATTAGTTATAAAAATGTATACAGAAGGCTCTAAGAGTTTATCTCGAGGATAAATTAGTCTTAAGGTTAAGACAATGATCTGGGCATCTGGATATGACCTAGTAAGTTAATACAGATTACAGATTCAGAGAATTTAAAGTAGAACACTCAAGCAGAAGTGTTAGGTATAGCAATTAGTAGAAAACCTTTGAGTAGACTCCTTAAATAAGTAATATAGAAAAGTTACACATGTAGTCAATTGTACTCTCTCCTATAGTGGTTCATTGAACCACAATACCAATAAGTGATTAATAAAAATCAAAAGACCAAAGAAGTCACCTTAATACTAAAAAAAAAATAAAAAATACTAATTGCTATTTTACAATCCTCTAATTTGCAGGTTTCAAGTTTGGTACATATGTAAAAAGTTCTGAAATTATTAATATTTTATTTATAAAATAATGTTAATACAAAATTAAATAATATAAAAAAAGTATCAGCATTATATAAGTTTAGTTATTTTTTTTTTTTAATCTTAAGCAGTTATGCTAGTACTTTATTAAGATTCTTGAAACTATATATTTATATAATTACATAGAATTTCCCAATATCTAAGTCTAGCATCACTCGGCCACCTTAATGGTACCTAAGTGCAACCTGTCGCACTATCTTAGTTAAAGATAAACTGCTCGTCTAACTACTTAAAGCCATACCAGAAAGGTCTTCCTCCTCCTATGACAAGCATATTTATTGTCTTCGTAGCTTCTTTCTTCATTTGGTCTAGCTTTTCTGCTTTTCTTTCTTTTTCTTCT